AAAAAAAAAAAAAGTTAGATTTAGGAATACCACTTGATTCAGTAATCCCATTACTAGGTACATATCCTAAAGAAGTGAAAGCCAGGACAAGAACAGATATATGCATACCCATGTTCATTGCAGAACTATTTACAACAGCAAAAATACAGAAACAACCTAGGTGCCCAACAGAAGAATGGATAACCAAACTATGGTACATATACACAATAGAATTCTATGCAACCCTAAAGAGTAACACAGAATCTGCAAAGCACTGCATTACTTGGATGAACTGGGAGGACATTATGCTGAGTGAAATACATCAATCACAGAAGGACAAATACTGTTATTAGTGTGCTATTGTAAAAAATCAAGGAAAGGTCTATATATGAATGAAACTTTGTTGGTTACCATGGGTGGGAGTGGGGTAGAGGAACACTCCAACATAGGTAGATTCAAGTATTGATTTGGGTGAAGGAAAGGGCAATGTACCAAATGTAAGTGATCAACACAGCAGCACTGAGGAAGACAAAAGACATAGAGAGAGGTGCATGGAAGGTACAGACAATGCAGATGAACCCTTTTTCAAGTACACTACTGTGTTGTCCATGATGGCAAACACTGGTCTACAGGTGGATAAATGGGTGGATAGGCTAAACAATCAGATATGTCTAGGCAGGAGGGAGTGTGCCCATGATCATGTATAGGGTTGGCAGGCAATATTTCTACAAGCATAACTGTATATTCTCTAACAATGTCCAGGTATATAGTAGAGTTGACAAAGCACAAGGCTGTGGTAACCTCTTGACCATGGCCAGCTACCCACAGGGAGCAAGCAGTTGGACCTTTGGGCTCAGGACCATGGTTGCAGGGGACATCAAGCTCAATTGGCATGACATACTACATAAAAACTTTATTCCACAACCTACTTTGGTGAGTAATGACTGGGATCTTAAAAACCTACAAGTGGCCATCTAGATGCAGCAATGGGTCTATGGGTCTCTCCTCATCCGGAGAAAAGAATAATGAAGAAAACCAAAGACGCATGGAAACAATTAGTCCAAGACCTATATGACCAAGAGACCACAAGAACTAGATGATGCCCAGCTACAAGTGTCAACCATTCGGAGTGGGATATCTGCAGGAGATCCTGGATAGAGTGGGAGAACAATGTGGAACAAAATTAAAAATCATTTAAA